GTGTGTGCCGTGGGACACCGAAGACAGGCGCGTATCAACGCCAAAAAATAAAAAGAAAGGGGGATCTGTGGGGAGCAGCCCGGACTGGACTGAGTTACTGGAATTAAGACTTATTCTATGCATCTGCTCTCCCACAATATGGCGCTGGGAGAGAAGTAAACAGCTTCCGCACAGCTGCCTCCAGTTCAACTAATAAACTGTAGGACTTGCTACTGATTGGAGGAGAGCAGCGTACTCGGCGTGTGGGCAGCCGAGTTGGGATTGGCGGAGGAGGACTATAAAGGAGGAGAGAGACGGCATGCACCGGGAACATCTATGGGGAGCATCTAAGGGGAACATCTAGCTGAAGGAACACCTGTGCAGCCCCCGAGAGAGCCGGCCGGCGGTGTGCCGCTCCCCTGCGGAAGTGGGGAATGTGGCCAGGGGGAACTGCCCTTCCACGGAGGTGGAAGGGATAGTAGCCAACCCGGGAAGAACCAGCAGCAAACCCGGGGAGGGCCGAGCAGACGAAAGAACAGCGCAGGGTTCTGTGCCGTTCCTCCACGAAGAAGGGGAGCGACACTACACTGGATTCTTGTGCTCACTGCTATCAGAGATGGATGCTGAAAGGCCTCAGCGCAATCAAAGAAAAGCATGACAGGTGCATCTACTGGCGGCCTCTTGGACAATGAAGACGAAAGACACCAAAGTGCTGCAGTTGTGCAAGTTGATGGATGAGTGTCCTGGTTATTCATTGTGATTTGGGGAGGATGGAGGAGGATGCTCAGGGCTGTCTAAGGTAAGGTAGCCAGGGGTTTTCTTTGTTTTGAAAACAGACACACACCATCACCTGCGAAACCACTGTGGAACACCTCACAGTGGAATATTACCAGCCATGGAAAGGAGTGAAGAATTAATGATGTGGGTAGGGAGGCAGCTATCAGAGGAGCTGAGCAGTGCCAGCATCTGTGCTGCCGCCCCATGTGCCCCCCTGCCCGGGTGTACCACCCAAACCCCACCACCTCCCATGCAGACTGCAGCTACTGAGTAGAACAGGTGCCACTAGAAATAGCCAATATGGCTGCAGACCGTGTCACTGTGATGACTGTTAGGTCATCATAATGAAATTACCCATAGCCGACACTCCCATTCCCATCATGCAACTGATGCCACTGCATTTCCAAGATTTCCTGAAAAGTACACAGAAATAGGCGGGACTTAAGCCCTGCCTGGAAACCTAGCCTATTTGAATATTCAATTAAGCGCTGTCCCAGACACTACCCTATACCTCCAAAAGGTAATGAAAACTCTGCCCTGAACCTTGTTCACTGCATTTCATTCTCTCCTGAGTTTGTCCACTTATTCTTGAGTGTGTATTTGTGCTTGAAATGTCTCCTCCTTTCCTATTCACCATTGTCTACATTTCTTCCTTGCATTCTTTCTTGTGTGGAGACAAGAACTTGGACCAAGCCTAGCCAGGAATCACCCCTGTAACACTAATTCATGCTACAACCTGGATGAACCTGAAAAACTTTATGCTAAGTGAAAGAAGTCAGACTCCAAAGGCCATAACGCATATGATTCCCCTTATGCAATCCCCTGAGTAGGCAGATCTGTGGAGACAGAAAGCAGATGAGTGGGTGCGGGAGACTCGGGGGTGCCTAGGGGTTTTCCTTTGGAGTGAGGACAATGTTCTAGAAGTAGATGATGGCAGTGGTTGCACAACACAGAGAATGTACTAGGTGCCGCTGAACTGTACACTTTAAAGTGGTTAACTTGGCAAATTTTATGTTAAATGTACTTTGCCACAATTTAAAAAAAATCGATACATGATAAAATAGAAAACGGCTGTTGTACTTCTTAGTTGCTTTTTGAACATGACAGTCAAGTGTAATACCATCCTGAAATCTAATGTGTGACATGAGGACTATGGTTAACATGGGAGTTTTGCTAATGGAGTAGATTTTAGGTGCTCTTGCCATAAAAAAGGGGGGCAGGTAGCTGGGAGGTGATGCATGTTCTTCTGCCTGACTACAGCGACCGTTTCACTGCATCCGAGTATATGGACATCAGATCATGCTGTATGTCTTAAATATAAACCATAAGAATAAATTAACAAAGTAAAATTAGGTATGTGTAAAACCTCATAAAGGTCATTCTACAGAAAAAAAGATGAAGCATAAGTATTAACTATGAATTAGATGATGCATGCATATCAAAAAGGCTTATAATATTGAAAACTTGAACCTAATAGGAGGAAATTTTAAGCTGATAAGAAAAAATACTACTTGATATTAGCCAAAAGGCTAAGAAGTGATTAATGTGAGGGAGTTTCAAAAAGTTGGTGGAAAAATGGAACTAAAGGATGTTTATTTTGGTGCAAAAAACCCTGGAGTCCATGAATAGCTTTTCCGCCCCCCATATGCATCTTTTTGAGGATTTCTTGGATGTCACCTCTTGCTAAGCAGCAAAAAGGAGTGGGTACACCGTGGCCACCCCTGCCCAGTTTGAGGGCAGTGTGCTGAGCAATGTCTCGGGCTGCTGGCACTGGGCTCCCCGCAGGGTGCAGGGCATGCCTGCCCTGTGAGCCTCTGTCTCAGGGATGTGACAGCAACTGGCACCCTAATGCTGCTCACGGAGACATGAATTCCAGCAGACAGCTGCTCTCTGCACGTGACCCACGGAGCTGCCTGGCATTCATGCCACTGCCTTGCCCTGCCTTTGAAGATTGGTGCAGCTCCACAATTAGCGGACTCAACAACACACATGCCCAGCTACTAGAAAATGGGTTCGTGGGAGAGGTTCCAGCCTAGCTTTCAAGGCACTGGCCCTGCTCATGGAAGGTTCTGCTCCCAGCCCAGGTAGGGCTGCCTGAAGTGACCGGCATCCATTACTTCCTCCCTGCATGGCTGCCTCCCTCACCCTGAAACACTGTCCTACCAGGCCCAGCGCCGGCCCTGCTGCACTTGGGATTTCTACCACACTGTCCATGCAATTGTTCTTCCTGCCTGAGAATTTTATGCTTTCTCACCAGATAGCAAGTTCTCTAATGGCCAGAGCTCCTCCTTGCAGTTTTGGGGTGTCTCCCCTAGGTGTAGAGATCTCAATGCCTCCCAGATACCCTCTCCCCTCTATTTGAACAGCGCCTTGATTTTTCTTGGCCAGTCTGTCAGGCACACGCGTGACTTAATCGGGACCAGTGAGATTCACTGGCTCTGGGCCTTGGTGGAGCTCCTGGTAAGAGACCTTTCCCTAGGAGGTGTTAACCCAGAAGATGCTGCACACCATCACTGCCCACTTGTGGGGTGTTTGTCTGGGAATAAACCACATGGGGGAGGGCAGGCCAGGGCGTGAGCAGAGTCCCGAAGGCACAGTCTGAGGGTCTCACTGACCACTACCCACTTCCTTCCTTGTCGCCAACTGAGAGAACACAAAGGGACCTCTTGGCATTTACCATGGGCACAAAGTAATCATGACTGACTTGTTGATCATTTGCTTACAGGTATGTCTGGGTGGTTCAATGAAAAATTTTTTTTTTTTGCATTAAAAGTTCCTGTAGTGGTGAAATGCAGTCCGCCGTTGTAACCATTTTCAAGTGTGCAGTACAGTGCCATGAAGTACGTTTCACCCTATTTCCAGGATGTTTTCACCATCCCAAACCAAAACGCTACACCCACTACACATCCTCCCTCCCTCAACCCTCCTACCACCACTTTATTTTCTGTGTCTATGAACTTGACAACTCTGGGTATCTCTTCTAGGACAATCAAATAATTGCCTGTTTGTGATTGGGGCACATCACTTAGCACGATGTTCTCAAGGTTTCTTGTGCAAATGTGCTTCCTTTTAAGGCTGAGTAACAGCCCATTTTGTACATGCATTCACTGTCAGTGGACCGTTTTGGCTGCTGTGAACATGGGCGCCCACATCCCCGCCTGATCCCAGCTTTCGGCTCCTGGGGGCCGGGATGGGGCGGAACTGCAGACTCCCATGGCAACTGCTTCACGTTGCTGAGGAGCAGCCACAGGGTCTCCCACAGTAGCTGAGCCGTTCTGCAGCCCCAGCAACAGTGCACAAGGGCTCCGACTGCTCCAGCTTCTCATTGACACCTAACTCTTTTCTTTTTTGAAAAATATTTTAGTTGGGGCCGGTGCTGTGGCGTAGCAGGTTAAGTCGCCATCTGCAGTGCCGGCATCCCATATGGGCGCCGGTTTGAGACCTGGCTGCTCCACTTCTTCCGCTTTCTGCTATGGCCTGGGAAAGCAGTAGAAAATGGCCTGAGTCCTTGGGCATCTGCATCCGCTTGTGAGAGAGACCCGGCAGAGGCTCCTGGCTCCTGATCGGCTCAGTTTCGGCCATTGCAGCCAACTGGGGAGTGAACCAGCAGATGGAAGACCTCTCTTTCTCTCTGCCTCTCCTTCTCTCTCTGTGTAACTGTTTCAAATAAATAAAATAAATCTTTTTAAAAATAAATTTAAGTCCAAAGATGGAACTGTGATAATGCTAGGAATGGAACTTATTCCATTAGTGCATGTAAATAAGACTGTCGGGATAACGAAAGACGCGTGGAAGCCAGAAGCTTCAGTCTGAAAGCTTTTCTCGTGCACTTTTCTTGGGCACCGTTTCTCCGTCAACCCCACTACTTCAGACACTCACAGGCTGGCCTACACCTTGATGTCCCAGGGAGCCGCCTCTTCTAGGCCCCTCCCTCTTTGCTGGTGAGGGGAGGGGGCAGAGGCCGGGCACAATGGACCTGTAGGTGAGCAGTTTTCTCGCACCCAAGCTCCTACCCCATTTTTATTTTTTTTTTCCAGCAAGAACAAAGCTGCTTTATTCCAGAACCCTCCAACGAGTCACGGAGAACCGCAACCCAATGGTGCACTGGAGTGCGTTCCTGCGATGCCAGCAGCTGCTGCCTCTTACCGATCCCCTCCCCTCATTCCTCCGCTATGGAAAACTTTGTGCCCGAGCCCTCAGGAAGAGAGGCGGAGGGCGTGTGAAACGTGAGAGCCCAGACACGCTGCTGGCTCGCAAAGGCTTTATTTCTACTTCATCGCGGCCTCACACAGACGCCGAGGCACTGTCGTGTTTCCATTTGGTATCCTGGTGCCTGTGTGTAGTGCTTTCCCTTCACAAGAAACTTTCGCGAACACTTCTGTACAGTGCCGGTTCATCTCTTTAACAATCATCTTATAAAGGTGGTTGCTGTTGTCTCATCAAAGCCAGAGGCTGGAGGCTAAAAGTGCAGGGCGAGGGGCGTCACGACTGACAACAGTGGGCCGGGCCGACTCACGTGGCGGGGAGGGCGGGGACACAGCGCAGTCACGTACATGCACCTGAAACCGGACGTGCGGCCCAGAAGAGAGCAGGTGGATTACACAGCCGGCGAGTGCCCCAGGCGCACCAGAGGGCTCAGCACCTCTCCTCCAGTCTACAGACCACCTGTCTGCTCTCCTGGCTCCACGGCTTTTTCAGTACAAAAAGTTCACGGAATCAGACAGTCTGAAGCATTTAAAAAAAAATTCTTAAAAAACAGTAACACTGACAAAATAAAATTAACTTAAACCACGTTCATTCAACATGGAAATAAACCCAACCAAAAAGTAACAGTGCAAATCTAACAGAGAGGCAGTCAGTTTGAGCGAGAGGGTGTTCGGCATCTCTTAAAATGTACAGTTTTAAAACTTTTATTTTTTTAAATCTATTTATACCTTATTTACTTTTTTCATTTAATATATTGTGTGTAAAAAAGATGGAGACAAAAATAGTTTTCTGAGCTATGAAAAAAATTAAGTTATTACAGGCACATTTACTGTTTCATTCTAGAAACATCTCAGTTTCACAGGTTGAACATTCAGCAGCTGTGTTTTGTTTTGTTTTGTTTTGTTAAACATTCTTTAACCTTGAGAAAACCAGAGCTCTCTTTTGGGGCAGAGGTTGGTGACGATGGTGTGGTTATGCAAATCACAATGAATTATTCTGTGATAATCCATGCAAGCTTGCATCACGGCGTGGCTTCTCCTCCAGCGGCTCCTCGTCGCCACGCTCCTCCAAGGACGTCGGGTCTCCAGGGGACTGAGACTGTGAGGCAGTGGGGGACGGTGGGGCCCACCGGGACGGAGGCCGACGGTTTGCTGGTCTCTCGGGCCTGGAGAAGCAGGGCTCTAGGGATGGAGCTAGTGCAGAACAAGGTAGTTCCTTGGGGGTCGAGAAAAGACATGGTTACTCAGACCAGCGGCTCCCCAGTGGTTAATTCCCCCCCCAACACACTCCAACAGACTCATGGTGGGCAGTGGGCAGCTTCAGAATGCTGTTACGTTGCTTATGGAGAACAACTTAAAATGATCAGCAAAGAGTTCCACAAGAATGCGCAGTGATATGAATATGAAGATATCGAACAATGGTCACAATATGGCAATACGGTGAGATGGGTGTGCACACACAGCTCCTTCTGTATTTGACAGGAACATGGCAGGCAGGGGGAGTGACTGGGGCTGCTCCTCGAATCCCCACCCAGTGGGTCCTGTCATTGGCCCCCTGGAATCATCTATCTGGCTGCAGTGAGCCACTGGAAGCCCTGTGATTTCATCCGACTGGATTAGCAAGGAGGCTGGTCGACTGTTTATTCCCCACTGACTGGCAGTAGGTTAAACAAACTCCCACGACATGGGGAAAATGCTGCCGGGAGAACTTTTAATTGAGGTCTCGTTGTCTCGAATGATTCTTCCGTGTGGCAACACTGGCTCAAAGTGGGATGGGGAGCGCTTGCGATTCTGTGTCTGTCAGGACAATGCAGGCGCCCCAGGGCATTTATACAGAAGTGATCTTTTTTGCTTTTACAGAATGCGGAGCTATTTGTCTTAAGTCTTCACGTGCAGAAACAAGGAAGCCCAAACGTGGGATTAGCTGATGCACAGAAATAGAAGGAGTGGAGATGAGGGAATGGTGAGAAACACAGAACCCAGCCCGCCCAAGTGACACTAAACACGGAAGAAAAAAAAAGCTGAGGCCACAAACCCCTAGGTGGATGGCACAAGGATGACCCCACAGAGAAGACACGATGAGCAAGTGAACAGACCAGGGTGAGGGCTGATTAACCAGCGCAGGAGCCGAAGGACACCGATGGTGGTATCAGGTAGGCACTCCTGGAGCAGATGAGAACGGGGTGGAAGATGCATGGTGGTGGCAGGTGGAGGCGGCACAGCCCGAGGGCAGCGTGGGACCCACAGTTTCCAGGAGAGCAATGAAGTAATGGGATGAGGCCGTTTCCCTGCCCCTCTATGAGGTCTGCAGAAAAGGCACTTTAAGGCCAGCAATCACTGTCCTCTGTGCTAACAGGCACCATGGCAGCCAGACGGCACCTCCCCGGGGGCACACAGCACCAGCCAGACTTGACATCTGCACTGTCGTGTGTGTCCATTCCCACCGAGAGCAGTGTGTGTTGTGTATGCTGTGTGTAAACAAGGCTGCTGCCAGTGGTTTGCTCAGCCCCTGCTTCCACCTGGCTGATGCTCCAAGGAGCACGGGCTCTTTAAGGGAGCAGCCTGCAGTACCTCTTCACTAGCACCTGCTCGCAAATAAAGAAATGCTGTGTGACCACGACACCTCGCTAGTATCCCAGCAGCACATGCAAGCCCACGATGGCCGGCTTTCCCGAGAAGCCACCGTGGCGTGTGCTACGTGGGCCTTGTGTCCGTGATGTTGCCCCTGCAGCACCTGTGCTGCAAATGCCCTTTCTCATGTGTTGCCACTTTTTCACAGGGTCATGGCCATCATTTTCTTCGACAGCTTGCAATCTTTCTGTACCTAAGACCTGGCATTACGGCCCTCCTATAAGGTGGGAGGGTGGCTACATCCTCAATTAAAAACAAAGTCTTTATTTTTCTCTTGTGCCTCCATTCAGGATCTGAAGGCCATTCTGGGAGAAGCTGTCAACATATCTGGAGCATCGCTGGCCTTGTTCATTCGTTCAATAAATATTTATCGAGCACTTACTGTGATACCCGCGATGCTCCCTTGGAAGGACAAGGCGCATTTGGGCTTTTTCTTTCTGATAAGGTTGTTGAAAGACAAATGAGAAAAGCCTTTTCTCATCGTAGTCACACCCCATTTCAGCTTACTGCGACACGAGTACGTGATGGAAGGGTCATCTACTCTGAGCAGGAGTGGACAGCTAAGGCTGCAGGGCGGTCATTGGCTGGGCTCAAAGACCCCTGTCCCCGAGCTGTCCCCTCCTGGCCAGTGTGTCCTCACTCCTCTGAAAGCCCATGGGCTGCACACTCCACCAGCGAGGGGAGCTCTGGGCACCAACTCCAGCACCTAGAGACCTCCCTTCACCGCAAGAGGTCAGCCCTCATGTAGGGCGGAGCTAGCCTGCCAGGACCCAGGTGGGTGCCCTCAGATGATGGGTGGGGGTGGGAGGCATCCCCATGAGTTACACGCACGACTTCTGCAGGTGATTTGCAACGAGGAAGGAAGCACTTACAGTGAGAGGCAGGCAGGGCTAGAGTCCCCACGGGGCAGTTAGTAAGACAGTTTGGTTCTGGACGGAACAAAGAGAAGAAAAGCAAGTGGGTGGAAAGCAAGTTTAAAGCAAGAGAACAGTAAAGCCTCCAGGTCAACAGGCCAGGGTGCGGTGTTGTCAGGAAGCCCCCGCGCCACGCCCTTCTCCACCTGTTGCACAGCACAGGCACGACCGCCAGGGACAGTGCACCTCCCTTCCGGTTCCCAAGCTTCCGGTTTCAGGAGGAACCGCCCTCTCACTTCTGACCTTTCACACAGCGTTTGGTGTGTATCTGATACAGAATATTCCACAGCACAGCTTGTTTTGGTGGCCAATGATCAAGCGGCCACTGCTCGTCCTGACACTCACCCCCCTCCTGCCCCCATTTTCCACTTGGGTGTGGGAGACAAGAGGGTTGCATTTCCATATTGTTCCTCTTCCCCCCACTGCCCACCTCCTCCTCCTCCACAGCTTCTCTCTGCCCCACCGGGCAGGTGCCGTGGCGTGAGGACAAAAGGAGGCCCATGCAGCTTTCGCGGGCGAGGCTACCCGGTGCCCACGGCACCCGGGTCTGGATGGCTCAGGGAGTGACTCTGCGGCAGGTCGCCCCGCGCGGGCTGGGAGAGCAGGTGCAGCCCTGGTGACGTGGGAAACTATGTCGAGAACTGACATAATTAGACAGGAAGGAGTCTCCCATGGGCCCAACAGATAAGCCAACTCAAACAACAGATAATTCCATTGGAATCGAGGAAGAGCAAAATCCCAGCAGAACAGGAACAAAGGGCCCATGGCACTGGAATGCTGTCAGCGAATGCTCCGTGGGGCTTCTGGGTCCCTGAAACTCTGTCCTCCCCTCCAATGCTCTGCTGCTGGTAGCAGACACACCACGGGAGAGCATCCAAACTCACACTTTCTAGGGATGGGGAGGGACGCAGCTGTGTACAGATAAAGCCATTTCTGCAGGTACTTCTGGGAGTCCAACAGTCAGCCATTTTCTAATGCTGCTTGCAGCACTGTTAGCAACTTATGGCCCAACATCTTAGGTCCTCATTCGCACTTTCTGTACGGAAGCACAGGTTCGAGTCCTGGCTCCTCTGCTTCTGATGCAGCTCCCTGCTAATGCTCCTGGGAAAGCAGCAGCAGATGGGCCCCTGCCTCCACACTGTAGACCTGGATGGAGTTCTAGGCTCCTGGCTTTGGCCTGGATCAACCCTGGGTATTGTAGCCATCTGGGGGAGTGAATCAGTGATGGCAGATTGCTGTCTCTCTGTGTGTCTCCCTTTCTCTGTCACTCACTCTGCCTTTCAAATATATAAGTAAATACATTTTTTTTTTGACAGGCAGAGTGGACAGTGAGAGAGACAGAGAGAAAGGTCTTCCTTTACCGTTGGTTCACCCTCCAACGACTGCTGCAGCCGGTGCACTGCGGCCGGCACACCGCGCTGATCCAAAGCCAGGAGCCAGGTGCTTCTCCTGGTCTCCCATGGGGTGCAGGGTCCAAGCACTTGGGCCATCCTCCATTGCACTCCCTGGCCACAGCAGAGAGCTGGCCTGGAAGAGGGGCAACCGGGACAGAATCCAGCGCCCTGACCGGGACTAGAACCCGGTGTGCCGGCGCCGCAAGGCGGAGGATTAGCCTAGTGAGCCGCGGCACCGGCCTCAAATAAAATAAATATATCTTTAAAAAAAAAGGGTAACACCCCCTGGAAATGCTCCAGTCCCTTAGTGCACCTTGCAATGGTGCAGAATTTGCACAGCCCCTATGACATCCTCCTGTGTACTTGAGATCATCTGTATGAATTACAATACCCAGTGCAATGTAAATGCTTTGTAAACAGCTATTATGTGCTGCCGTGTAGGGGTTGAGGGCAAATGAAGAAGTCTGCATGCTCAATACACAGTTTTCTCCCTGGTATTTCCAACCCACAGTAGGGTGGAACCCGAGAGCCGACTGTGACTCGGACACTGCAGGCACAGCCAGCTCATGCTTTGGGACAAAGCCCTCATTCCGACCAATCTAGGGTCCAATACACACCATCTCCCCAGCAGAGAGGACTTACCTGAGGGGCCCTGAGGGACGGGGGTGACACCACTTGTCAGCTGGGAACACTCAGCCAGCAGTGTCTGCCCATCCCAGAGCCTGGAAACAACCTGTTCACAAACACTGGGCTCTTCGGGCCACGTGCTGCCAGCATGTGTGTTGGGCTGAATCACGGGGAATCACCATTTCTGTAGGTCACCGGCACCTGCACTCAGCTCGCCATTTCGGATTTCACCTCTGTATTCTTAGGTAAGCACTCCTTGGTGGGTCAGTCTGGCCCTCTAACTGTGCTGGCATTTCTCCCCCTGGGAAATGCAGGCCCTGTGACGTGGGGCACACACCCTCTTCCTCTCCTTGCCCTGGGGCCAGGGCAGCCCAGGTGGTGGCAGCCCAGAAAAGAATCTGCTCCCCTCCTCTTCCCCGACCCTGGGGAGAGGACCAGCCTGCAGAATGCTCACTGGGCGAGGCGTTCACACCTGCTCAGGGCTGCACGAAGTGAGAAGCCGGCCTCCCCATGGCCGTCAGCACCAGCAGGATCACAGGGCTTATTTCATTTGCTCATTCTAGGCCTGGAAATGGGAGCTGCTGGCTCAAGCGGCAAGGTGCAAAGTACACCCCGGGGGATGTGTCCTAGAACAGAACTCCAGGCTGACTGATGGGTGAGCAATGTCAGGGCGGCAGTGCCACCTCCTCCTGTACAGAGGCAAGGTTCAGGGTTTACACATTTGTTTCACTTGGGTTTGCTGCCCCGGGGGATTCACACACACAGAGAGGGGAAGCCGCTCCTGAGAGTCCAGACTGCTGCTTTGCACGGAGGCCAGCTGGGACATCGACCTTGTGTTTGCAGTCCCTGACGAGCACGTGACAAGCACGTGTCCCCGTGGTCCTCACCCCCCTGGCCCCCTCCCATGTAGCACACTTGGACGTGCCGTGACATGCATCCACACACAGAAAGGGCAAATCATGACCCAGAACGCAGAGCCTGGGGGTGCAGATACAGATCCATCACCGAGCCCAGAGGCCAGAACCCTTTCTGCCTATGCTATCTTCCCCAAAACCCAACTCAGCCCCCGCTCACCACAGCCACTTAGAGACAAAAACGCTTCTTCCTGCAACCAACGGCCTGGCCAGGTGCCCTCTCACCCACCCCTAAATGGAAGAGCTGGAGGGAGAGGGTGCCATTACCTCCATGGGCCCTGGCTCGGCTGTGGCCGCATCTGCCGTGTGGTTGTCACTGAGACTCGGGGGACCGTGGGTGGCCTGCCTCGCCTCCTCCCTTAAGGCGTGCTCCATCAGCTTCCTGTTGAGAATCCGGGCCACGTTCTCGGCGAGCGTGTAGCCAGGGGGAGCGGCTAGGTCCTGCCTCACCGGCGTGCCCTCTCCCCCTTCCTCCCTGGACGTCTCAGCACCTACACCAATGGGGCTGGGCGACCTTCCCCGGGAACTGGTGCCTGTCTCCTGGCCTGGGCCCAGCTCGGGGCGGGGTTCTGCCGAGCGGGACCGACTCCCAGCCCGCGCCCCCTTCTGGAAGGGGTCCTGCACCACGGGGCTATGGTCGATGATGTTGAAGAGGCTGGAGAGGCCGTCGTTGATGGTGGTGTGCACGGGGCTCTCCCTCGTGGTGGTGGAGCGTGCCCAGGCCGACTCGCTGTACCCCTTCTGGGCCACACCCGGTGAGGTCCTGCTATTTGGCTGGTCCACTTTGGGGAGGGGCTTCCGCTGCAGCTTGGGAGACCCGTACTTGGGGGAGCAGCACGTGCGTTCAAACTTGGCCTGCACCTTCTCGATGGCGGGGGCCACCTGCCTGCTCCTAAGGCTGCGGGAAGGAGACGACACGGGTGTGGTGCCGCCCCCCGCCTTTGGTGTGAGACACTTGTGGGGGCTGCTGGTGACGCCACCACTGCCCCGGAGGGCTTCCGTCTGCAGGCCCACGCTGATGGTCTGCACGGTCTGCGTGCCCGTGGTCCGGGACCCGTTGGTCTGGCAGGCCATGTCCTTAACTTGTGGCTCGGGCGGGCTGGAGCAGATGGCGCTCCTGACGGAGAAAGCCACCTCCTTCATGTCATCACTCATGTTCTTGGACATCTCTAGGCTGTGCAAGGGGGAGGCGAAGCCCAGGGGGGTACACAGGGGGCTCTCGAGGGGGCGCAGGGCCCCCTCCATGTAGTCTCGGGGGTGTTTGCAGGGGGCACAAGGCCACCTTCCAAGCATGGGTTCCAGGGGTCCCCCCTTGGCGTCGCCCAGGCTCACTCTGGCCCTGCTGGTGGGAAAGGGCCCCTCGGGGTCCAGCCGGCCCCTGCCCTCGCTGCCCCCCTGCACGATGCCATCCATCCTGCGGACGGCGGGCGGGCTGTGCAGCACACGCACACCGGACTGCTCGGTGAGGACGTGGCTGCGCAGCGGCTGCTTCTGGCAGTGCTCTGGGCTGGTCATGGTGTCCGTGGTCATGGTGACGCTCGTGGTCAGGTACCAGGAGGAGTCCGAGAAGGGCTCCGCGCTGGCTTCGCACCCTGCCCGCCCCGCCTCGGTCCTGTCTGCCCAGAGGTCCGCAGGCCTCTCGGCCCCAGCCCCGCTGGGGGACCTGGGGGACGTGTAGTCCCAGCTCTTGGTGTTGAACTCCTCGATGTACTTCAGGTCGTCAGGGGACAGGGGCGGGGTGACGTCTTCCTTGCTGCTGGCAGACGGCAGGCCCTTCTCAGGCAGGAAGGGGGACACGTCCATCAGGCGCTGGAACTCCGACATGGAGGACACAGACACCGCCCTGGAGAGGCAGAGAGAGGAGGTCATCACGCGCCCTGAACGCCGCAGCCCTGTGCCCTGCCCTGCCTTGCCCGGGTAGTGGGGACGGAGCCTCCCCTAAGCCATTGGAACACTCTGCAGCTGCTTCAGGCTCCCTGCTTACAAGCTGGCCCTGTGGGTGTTTATTGGACGTCTGTGGCTGTGGGACTGTTGCTGGAGCCTTGCTCTGATCAGAACCAAATAGTGGCCGGCGCTGCGGCTCAATAGGCTAATCCTCTGCCTTGTGGTGCCGGCACACCGGGTTCTAGTCCCGGTCAGGGCACTGGATTCTGTCCCGGTTGCCCCTCTTCCAGTCCAGATCTCTGCTGTGGCCCAGGAGTGCAGCGGAGGGTGGCCCAAGTCTTTGGGCCCTGCACCCGCATGGGAGACCAGGGGAAGCACCTGGCTCCTGGCTTCGGATCAGCGCGATGTGCCGGTCACAGCACGCTGGCCACTGCGGCCATTGGCGGGTGAACCAACGGCAAAAAGGAAGACCTTTCTCTCTGTCTCTCTCTCTCTCTCACTATCCACTCTGCCTGAAAAAAAAAAAAAAAAAAAAAAAAAAAGAACCAAATAGTGCCAACCCTCAAATACTGCAAACAAGCAGGAGGGTGGGGCCACCCAGCAGTCAATGCAGCTCAACTCCCAGCCGTGGCTTGGCATGGCCCTCGCCGGTGGGCACCTCCAGTGCCAACCCTCCTGCAAGGTGTCACGGCAGGTGCTCATGCTGCAGAGCACCCCCAGGCCCTGCCCACCACATGCTCATGGCCCCCCGGGAGAGAGAGACCCAGTGATGTAGCTGCGGTCCCACCACACAGCCTTGTCCTCCACTGGCTTGAAGCCCTGACAACCTCCAAAGGCCACGAGGCAGGTGACAAAGGGAGGAAGGGCAAGGGAACTGCCATCAGACCGGCACATGGTTTCCTTTATTCTGTTACAAATAAAAATTCCCTCTGGCCCTTTCTGCAGTGTCCACCCCCGGGGCTCTCCCTAAGCCCCTTCTCCACGGCCAAGCCTTCCTCTTTGTCTGTGTCCTCCTCCTTTGTTCTGAGGAGAGAGGGAAGAGAACTTCCTCAGACAAGGGAGCATGGCTGGAGGTGAAGACACGGGAGGGGAGCCAAGGCTTAGCGCCTGCTAAGCTCCTGCCTGACGGACAAGGACTCGGGTGCAGATTCCTGGCCCTTTCACTGGACACATTGACTCGACACACATACACAGAGTGCCTCCTCTGTGCCCAAGCAGAGGCATTGGAAATACGTGTCTGCTACGACAAAGGGTGCTGGGGTGTTCACACAGGGTGTCCACCCACTACAGCAAAGGAGGTGGGGTCAGGAGGGAGGCTGGGCCCTGGCTGTGTCCACCGGCCCCAGCAATGGAGCTGCTGTGGCCTGGACTCCCTCCAGCTCGGCTCGGGGTAGGGGTGGGGGCGTTGCAGAAGGGAAGTGAGCATGTTTCTGTCTCTGGAGCTAAACCCATTTCTGGTCAGTTATATTAAAAATTCCTGCCACACACACACACACCCCTAGCCCTCCAGTTCTAGACCAGCTGAGGTCTAGTCAGTGGGGGTCCCAGAGGCAATGCTTGGCCACTCCCCTGTAGGACACCCATCCATGAAGAAGAGGCTGGGAGTGGCTTCAGAAGCCTGCTCTGAGCAAGTCTGTGCACTGCACGGGCCAGCATGCAGAACCAGCCAAGCCCTGGCTGGACCGCAGACAACTGCCTTCACCCAGGGGACGGGGCCTGTGCTCTGAGGGCCGCCATGGGGTGTAGAGCAGGCCAAGAGTGCCACTGCTTGGCCTTCCATCTGGCTAAAGTTCCCGGGAGCACAGCAACCTGGCTGTCACCCATGCTGGAAATGTCATTAGGTCCTGAGCTTCTGGGCAAGTATGATTTTCCTCTGCTTGCGTCTGTCAATCCCAGGCATTGCTGAATTAGAACTCAGCTTCAGAACACTGATCACGGAGCACGTGAGGGCTCTGCACTGGCTGAGGCCCTGATCCCTGCCATGGTGCTCTGGATACAGCTCAGCCAATTCCCACTTTGCCCACAGAGGAACAGGTCTCAGAGTCACATCCGCGGCACCTCCGTGGACAGGGCTTCGTGCTGCTGGGGCTTGGATGGACGGGACAGGACAGAAGGAGGATGCCATCAACCTTAGCAGTGACCAAAGCCGACAGAACAGCAACTAGGAGAGCCAGGATGCAGCCCCTGCATCCGCACTGCAGCGGGTCTGGAGAAGCACACCAGTTAGAGGCAAGAAGGAAAAGGGGATGGCGGGAGGCACTTGACTTTGGATGTTAACACTGACAACAAGCATGCATTACTTTTGGAATTCACAGAAGTAAGATTTAAAATAAAAGAAAATAAAAGAAAAGAAAATGAAAAAGCTACAGTTGAGAAAGTGAAGAGAAGGGTTGATGGCCTGTGACTTAGGCAGTAAAAGAGGGTCTCCTATGTGAGCACAGGGGCCCAAGCACTTGGTCCATCTTTTGCTGCCTTCCCCAGGCCATTAGCAGAGAACTGGATCAGAAGTGGAGCAGCCAGGACTTGAACTGGAGCCCTCATGGGATGCATCACAGGTGGCGGCTTTACCAGCTGCACCACAACACTGGCCACCAGGAAGTTTTCAATAAAGCCTCCTGGAGCAGGCTCGGGGCACTTCAAGGAGTTTTCCAGACTTAAAATCAGCAGGGAGGTTTCTGTGGACTTTACAAAGCCCACTGGACACACGCTCCCCTGTGTGTATAGCTCACAGCTACGACTGGCAAGGAGGGGCCTGCCAGAGAATGATCCACGCATGCACGCACGCACGCAGTACTGTCTGGCCTTTCAGCTGTTCATCACCAAAATTGCCATATGTATGGAATGCACAAATAACAAAGCAAGACTTCTGCAGCGGTCTTCACGTTAAGACATTTCAAAGAGGGTGTGAGAGCGGACTACAGCGGCAGGACCGAGAGGAGTGCATCTCAGTCATCTATCATTCCCTCAAGCTTACATACCTTTGAAGATTCCCCTTGTGGTTGTCTTCTTCCTAGAAAGAAGAAAGAACGTGGTGAGTGGCTTCATTTTGGTGGCCTGGGAGCCGGGACTGGGCTTCAGTGCTTTCTCTCTGCCTGCTCGCCTAGGAAAACACCACTGAAAAACGTAGGCGGAGGCCAGGTGTGGGTCAGGAGTGCTGCTGCCCCGAAGGCCTTTGAAGTTCCAGAATCAAAGCAGGATCCACGGCCTCACGAGGGAGGGGGCTGCGCTTCTGCAGTCAGGCAGGTGCCCACGGCACTGGCTCTGGACCTGGGCAGGGAGGGAGGCCTCGCCAGCGACAGGGATTTCAAAGCCGGCTTTTGTGATGACCTGAGCAAGTCTGAGTAGGAGAGTGAGTGAGTGTGGGGATGTGCAGGGCAGGGGGTGGGGGAGGTGACAGAAGACAGGCAGGTTAGGACACTGGAGTCCCTTGGTGCAAGTCTCACTTTAGATGTTAGTGAGGGGGCCGGCGCTGTGGCTAGTTCGAGTCCTGGCTGTTCCTCTTCCAATCCAGCTCTGTGCTAATGTGCCTAGGAAAGCTGTGGAGGATGTTCCAAGTGCTTGGGCCCCTGCACCCACGTGGGAGACCTGGAAGAAGCTTCTGGTTCCTGGCTTCAGATTGGCCCAGCTCTGGCCAGTGTGGCCAATTAAAGAGTAAACCAGGGGAGGGAAGACCTTTATGTCTGTCTCTCCCTCTGTCTGTCTGTTAACAAATAAATAAATAAAATCTCTCAAATAAATAAATAAAATTTAGGGGCCGGAGCTGTGGCACAGTAGGTTAACGCCCTGGCCTTATATGGGCACCGATTTGAGGCCCGGCTGCTCCTCTTCCAATCCAGCTCTCTGCTATGGCCTGGAAAAGCAGAAGATGGCCCAAGGCCTTGGGCACCTGCACCCACGTGGGAGACCCAGAAGAAGCTCCTGGCTCCTGGCTTCAGATTAGTGTAGCTCTGAAATTGTGGCCATTTGGGGAGTGACCATCAGATGGAAGACCTCTCTCTCTCTCTCTCTGCCTTTCCTCTCCCTGCTCTTTCACATAAATAAATAAATCTTTAAAAAATAAAATCTTAAACAAATGCATTTTTAAAAGATTTATTTATTTATTTGAAAGGCAGAGTTACAGAGAGGCAGTGGCAGAGAGAGAGAAAGAGAGATCTTCCACCCCCTGGTTCACTCCCCAGATGGCCACAACGGCCGGAGCTGCGCCAATCCGAAGCCAGGAGCCAGGAGCCAGGAGCCCATATGGGATGCTGGCACTGCAAGCAGCAGTGCCACAGCGCTGGGCCCATAAGTAAATCTTAAAAAAAAAAAGTTTGGGGCCGCCGCCATGGTGCAGTTAATCCTCTGCCTGTGGTGCCAGCATCCCATATATGGGCACTGGTTCTAGTCCTGTCTGCTCTTCTTCCAATCCAGCTCTCTGCTGTGGCCTGAGAAAGCAGTAGAAGATGGTCCAAGTACTTGGGCCCTTCTACCTGCATGGGAGACCAGGAGGAAGCACCTGGCTCCTGGCTTCGGATCATTGTAGCTCCGGTTGTTGCAGCCATTTGGGGAGTGGTCCAACGGAAGGAAGACCTTTCTCTCTGTCTCCCTCTCACTGTCTGTAACTCTACCTCTCAAATAAATAAATAAAATCTTTTTAAAAAAAAAGTGTGAGCTCCTCCTCAGGCCGGGGGCCCTTGCTTGGTTCTAAACACTTCCACCTGGGAATCAGAGGTGAAGAAGCAGGGACTCCCCCATAGGAAGACGCGTGGCTGCGGCAAGATTTGCCCCTTGAGCAGCCTCCTGGGGCTGTCACAGCTTGGCAGGTGGCACCTTCGACAGTGATGGAAGTCCATTCCTTGGAGAGCGCACAGCCAGGGCGCTTCCCCTGGTGAGCACATTCCTCCCTCATCTCTGCCTTGCAGGTAAGTGTGGATTCCCAGCCGCCAGGGAGCTGGAACTCGCACGAGGTCTCCTGAGCCGGTCCCTGTGTGCTCCCTCATGGGCCACCCCCAGATCACAGGAGACAGGCAGTGATGTCGCACCAACCTGATGCGATTGCTGCTGCCGGGGCGCTTGGCCTTGCTGGCCTGCGGTGGCCGTGCGGGCTGAGTGTGCCTTAATCTGAAAGTCTGAAGTCTGACACGCTTCCAAATCTGAGCGGTCTCTGGGCACCCACAAGACACCAGGAGTGCAAAGTTCCACACCGTGAAATTTTGTTTCATGCACAAAGTTATTAAAGACATTGGATGAGGTTATCTTCAGATGTATTTGAAACACACGTACATTTCCTGTTTAGGCTTGGGCCCTATCCTCAAGATATCTCCTTGTATATATGCAGCTTTTCCAAAATTACAACCACCTGAAATCCGACACACTTCCGGTAGCAAGCATTTGAGTATGGGATATTTGATCTGTATGACTGTCCCATATTTCAACAATACTATTTCAAGTTAAAACCAGACGTGTCTGGAGACCAAATGACAGGTCCAGCAAACTGTGAAATTGGTTCACAGGCAGTGAATGATTCTAGAATCAATTTTTAAAGCAAATGGCTGAACGAGAAATGCAACACACGCTGGGCCATATCCAACATCAGCACAGAGCTTAACCCACCCATTTGGTGGTGTGATTTATGTAAGGTTTCCAAGTGCCAGGTTGTTTTTTTTTCCTTTGCCCAGAATACGATATGTATAATATATCATTGTTTAGTGATATTTGCTACTTCCAAAAGCTAGCAAATTTAAGAGAGATTTTTTGCAGTTATTAGTTTGCCACAACCAGAAGATTTTACTATGTTTTCCAAAAACACGTTGCAAACAGATACTTCCCAGAACAATTTAGGTCCCATTCTGCATGCTGTTGGATGTGGGTGTGCTCGACACCTTCTGTGACACAGCACCCAAGGCCAGGGTTTCAGAACCCAGAACAAAGCGGCAAAGTTAAAGGGACCGCGGGGCTGGCTAGGAGGGTAGGGTCAGGGCCACCACACCACCCCCTCAGCCACGTGAAGAGGTCACTTGTACTCAGTTCACCATTGCCACACACAAAAGCCAAGGGCACCTGCCAGCTCTGACAGACGCCAGGGGTGCCCAGCGCCACCCAGCCCCTCGTCCCGTCCCGCAGGCTGACCTCGGGGCCGCAGTTCCTGAAGTCTCTCTCGGGCCTGTGGGGTGGAGGCTCCTCCGGCTCGTCGTCCAGGGACAGCGCATCCAAGTAGAGGTTCTCGCTGGCCGAGCACCTGTCCGACTCCTTCAGCTTGGACAGCGGCCGGTCTTCGAATGGGAGGGAGTCGGTGTCTGCGCAAGGCCACATGGCCACGACGGGCAAGCCGCAGGCCTCCTGTAGAAAAAAGAGCCGCGTGCTGCCTTCCTTTTGATCGCAGAGGAAGCTCCCACCTCGCCGGGGACTGCTCTCTTTCTGCAGCTTGAGAATTTAAAAAACAAAAGAGAATTGCCCTCCCATATTTTTTTTTTTCTGTTTTTTTTTTTCGACAAGCAGAGTGGACAGTGAGAGAGAAAGACAGAGAGAAAGGTCTTCCTTTGCCGTTGGTTCACCCTCCAATGGCCACTGTGGCCGGCGCACCGCACTGATCCGATGGTAGGAGCCAGGTGCTTCTCCTGGTCTCCCATGGGGTGCAGGGCCCAAGCACTTGGGCCATCCTCCACTGCACTCCCAGGCCATGGCAGAGAGCTGGCCTGGAAGAGGGGCAACCGGGACAGAATCCGGCGCCCCGACCGGGACTAGAACCCGGTGTACCGGCGCCGCAGGCGGAGGATTAGCCTAGTGAGCCGCGGCACCGGCTAGCCTTGCTTTTCTGTTTGATGCAAATATGCTATTGTAGACAACTGAGCACTGGGCGCACAGGAAATCAGACTTTTCAAAAACAATTAATACAGTTAAACAACGTGTTTACATCTGTCTTTTAGAGTTACCGTCAGACCTCTAGACACGCTTGACAGAATACCATCAGTAATCGCAAACTGCCGAGGGAGAATCTGATTTTCCTAACCAGCCTAAAATCTGGGAACACTTTGTTATGAATGAGGATATTTCCAAAAGTTTGTGGAAATGAAAAAAGAAATGAAAACATAAAGTTTATTTGGGAGCAGGCATTGAGCCTAGCATCTAAGCTACTGCGCTCCACTCTGGATACCTGGGTTCAGTTCCCGGCTCTGGCTCCTGACTCCAGCTTCCTGCCAACTCAGACCCTGGGAGGCAGTGGTGGTGGCTGCAGGAGTCGGGTCTCTCTGGGAGACCTGGATTGTGTTGCTGGTTCCTGGCTCCAGGCCTGGCCCCACCTCTTCCGTTGTGGGTATTTGGGGAATGAGCCAATGGATGGGTACTCTCATCTCTCTCTTAAATACATAATATGTTTTTAAAAAGATAAGTTTATTTTGGTGCAAAAAGATTTTGAAATACATGCTGTTTCTAGAAAATACATATTATAGGGAAAAAAAGAAAATGTATATTATGAGAAAATGATGCATGGTTTTCAAAAATGTTTCATACCAATATAAATTTATCTTTTAACTCCATTTCTCGCAAACTTTTTGAATTTCTCTTGTTCAATCTCATGGAGCATAGTGAGCTCTATCATTTTGTGTTAAAAACAATGTATCCTTTGCTTGAGAGGATTCCAATATAGCTAGGAAGGTAAGGAAAGATGTGGTATGACCCAGGGAAGAAAACTCACCTACTTCCTATGCACACTAATTTTTTTTTCTTTTTTTTGCTTGACTGGTAAACTCAAGAAACAGTATTGGAAGCACAGGATCCCTTGAGCCACTGATCTGTGCCCTTACTGGTTGGCTGACAGGGACAGGTTCTCAGTTCAGTTTCCTCTTCTGTAAAATGGGCATATGCACCTGAGTCAGCCGGCTCAAGCCACCCATTCTGCACACAAATACCCCTCTGCCTCCTGGCATTAGGAGTAGACCTGGTAGAGGCCATTCAGGAAATGAGACTGCAGAATCCCGGGGAACTGCCAAGACAGGCAGGCAGAGGGCTTCTCCTGCATTCCCCCCACACTGCCCCACTGCCTCCTGGTCCACACGTGTACACAAAGCACACCTGCGACCGGCAGTACTGCCCGCCGTGAATCTTTAGCGGGCTCTTTGCTGGATAACGAGCTCAGAAAGGCTCCTGGATTCGCTGCTCTGTGAAGGAGGACAAGATCTAAAGGTAGGGAGGCACCCTGAGGTTTGACCTCAGAGCGGTGGCCAGATTAAGATTTTCAGGCGCTGAGATGGTGCCAGGACATCCTAAGGCTCCAGAACGCAGATCAGTGGAATTTCTAAGAAAGCATCTTTGGGCCCAGTCTGCACCTTCAACCACAGCTGGATGTGAGTGTGGCCAGCGCAGTGTCAGGAACAAAGTGTGAGGGGCACCGGGGGACAAAAAGACTTCTATTCATCTGAGTCACTTCTGAGGTGGGGGAGCAAAGTTTCAGAGTGTTATCTTTATTTCTGGGGGCAAAGGGGAGGTTCAAGCAACCAGATCTCCAACGTAGGGGCTTGGGGCAAGTTCACAGTCCAATCAGGGAACAAGCAAATCACTCCAGGCAATAGCAACACACTTCTTCGCAGTTCTCTTCAAGACGCTAACTGCTTTCTTTCAAAAAAGAAAAAAGGAAAGCTTTTGATTACGTTCCTCCAATGCATGTCAGCACCACTCAGCTCCAACACATGATGGTCTCCAAGCTATTGTGGGCCTGGAATTAAGACGCAAGCATCACACTTGAAGCTGGAAATGTACGCCGAGCGTGTGAGTGAAGAGGGGAAAGAATGACTAAGGAGGAGAGCTGTGAACACGCGTGTCCTAACTCAGTAAAGTGGGATTCCAAAAATAGACCCAGGCAGCCAGGAGCAACTTGCACCAAAGCCGCCGGTGTTAGCTTTCCCAAAAATGCACTTGGCATGGCTGTCGCTGGGGCTATCTGCTGCGAAGATGCCTCTGAAGTGCGGTCATGGAACGGTCCTTAGAAGGACACGGTTGCCAGCTCCTACTGTACTTGCACTGGCAGCAGAACAACTTCTCATGCAAACAGAACATTTCAGAGGTTTGCATGTCCAAGAACGCAGGCAACAATGAACTCTCAAGAGTGTCGCCTTCCCAAGCCGGCCGAAAGAAAAGGTCACTTTGTAGGCAGGTAAGAATGGCCCTAGGTGTAGGAAAGACTGCTGATGTAAGAAAATTACTGGAAAGAGGACAGAAGACAGAGGCGCTTTCCTTTTAGCTCTGTAGGTACAGCGAGGACGAGGACGGTAGGTAGTACGTCATCCGCATGTTAACTGGGAACTCAACCATTCTAAGGAGAAATGCGGTGTGACTCCATAAAAGTTAATTATCCCCCAATCCAACTTGGATGGAAACAAGAGACGCTGATAAGGGAGATAAAGTGTTACTTGACCTACCCATGCTCCCACAGTCATTCATCACATAAAACGCCTCGTGTGGCACAGAAATTATGTAGGAATTGAATGACACCGGACAGGCATGAAGCATGTGCTTGCAAAGTGGAAAATGGATTTAGTGTGACTTCTTTCACCATCTGTATTAGGTTCTCAGTCAAGGTTACACGGCTTACCCCCGAGTCAAATAGAGAGGATACACCGTGAAGAATGTTCAGTTACATCTCTTGGTTATCTATGGAATGCATAGGCCAAAGTTAAATGAATAAACAACCCAGTAACCAATAAACAACATCTATACACACTCATACGCGCCTGAGTCAATTTCCTCTCCAGAATGCCTGTCACTGCTTAACCTCATTTTTAGGATCGGGCGCCAAAATGTTAAAAGTTTTCTTTAAAATGCTGAGTGTTTTTTGGGAAAAGGCCAGTTTTATTTTTGAAAGCCACTGTTGCATGTCTGAAGCATGAGTTCACCGTTAACCACTCCTCTTCTAAAGACAGTGGGGAAATCATGGTGCAGAAACTGTAGGGTCCGCCACCCCGGCAGGAACAGGTAGACGCCCGGAATGCTCAATGATGACAACCTCGAGGCCTGAAGCTCTGAAGCTGACGGTTTTGTAGACCTGCTGGGATCCCGACAAGCTGGCAGGGAGTTCAGTTCCCCACCACTCCTATCTTTGCAAAACATGGTCTCAAAAGGGGGCGACAGGTCATCCCTAGGTCACTGACTTCAAACTCTATCATGGGCTATGTCTTACTAACTTTTCCTTTTACAAATTTCTCATTCCCAGCAGTAAAATGGAAACCTAAAAGCCTTGCTTCACTTATATCCAAGGTGTGCCCTGCAGAACAAATGAAGCTCGTGTCGAGGTCAACAAGCCACCACGGCTCACAGGCTAAGGGACCCTAAAAGGGCACAGCAGGGGTCGCAGGGGAGGGACAGACAAAACACATGACCCTGGAGAGAAGGCAGGAAGGAAGGCCCCTGCTAACGAGTGTCCAGGAGTCACTGTGATACTGGCCAACTGAAGTCAGGTACGATCAATGGGTGACCACTTCCATAAGAACACATGCTACTTTTACTCCTAAAATTTCCACCAAACAAATGACCCAGTTAATAGAGCATGCACACACACACACACATACACACACACAATTAAAAATGAGAGACTAATTTACAAGGGCTGTGCTTCCAAGTCAAACAGGAAATGGCCGACTTTCCTCTTGATAGGATTTGGGGAATTCTGAAATGCAGCCACATCAAATACTGCCAGGGTGACTCACTGTGCCAGTGCCCCAGCCCAGGAGGAACTCCGGCTCCTTTCTATCTGCAGCGTATTTTCTTTGTCTCAGTGGCTTCTGACCAGAAGGCTCCTGGTCACTGTCATCACTTCACTCTTTCCCCTCTCCACCTACCCAACACTCCACCTACCATCACTTGCAACAACTGGCACCCCATATCAGAATGCCGGTCCGAGTCCCGGCTGCTCCACTTCCCATCCAGCTTCTTCCTGCTAATGTGCCTAAGAGGGCAGCAGAGGATAGCCCAAGTGATTGGGCCCCTGTCACCGATGTAGGAGAGCTAAATGGAGTTCCTGGCTCTTGGCTTTGGACAGGCCCAGACCTAGCTGTTGTGACCACTTAGGAAGTGAACCGGCAGATGGAAGATCTCTCTCTCTCTCTTCCTCCCTCCCTCTCTTTTGGGTTGATCTGCCTTTCAAATAAATTAATCTTTTAAAAAATTCTGAAATCCATACACACAAGTCTGCAAAATGTGCACAGATTTCAAAAAACTTTTGTACCAAAACAAACTGATCTTTTAATTTCATTTCTCCATGGATTTTTGAAGTCCCTTCATATTTGCAGATAACGAAGCACATTTTTCCATGAGGCTCCCACATAAATGCGGGCAGTCTGGGCATCGGCAATAGAGTAATATGGTTAGATGTCCTGACCGCAGCTTCTTATTGACTAACACATTTCCTGGAGGCCTCGTGAATTTCTAAGTGTGCAGGCTGTAATAAACAAAATGTATGCTACGTAAAAATCCAGCTAGGGAGGAACTCCAAAACCTTATCAATTTAATGTGCAATTTTCATCCGTGTATCACCCAGGAACCTCTGCACCTGTGCAAACTGTTCTAAGTCTGGTGCAATGCAGAGAATGAGCCTCCGGGAAGTAGACAAACAGCTCCCCCTCCTCCCTCACATTCTTCTGAGTTTCTGAATCGTTTGTTTAGCTGAAGATGATGAGCTACCAGCTACCTCCCTTGACCGTAGTCCTAGCTAATCATGGCGCCGCAATAGCCACAGCAGGTGCAATCATCAGTGAGCAGCCTGACTTCCAACTTAATTCAGCCATTTATTTACTAATGAGAACAATTCCGTTCAAACAGGAGCAGTCACTGTGACTGCATCTTTATTGGTAAACTTAAAAGTTAGTTTGTTTTTTGGCAGAGATCATTGAATAAGACCTGAAATAACCTCCTTTTTCAAGTTTAGTCTTTGAAGTACTTTAAAAAGTTACCTGTGGCCAGCGCCGCGGCTCACTAGGCTAATCCTCCGCCTAGCGGCACCGGCACACCGGATTCTAGTCCCAGTCAGGGTGCCGGATTCTGTCCTGGTTGCCCCTCTTCCAGGCCAGCTCTCTGCTGTGGCCAGGGAGTGCAGTGGAGGATGGCCCAAGTGCTTGGGCCCTGCACCCCATGGGAGACCAGGATAAGTACCTGGCTCCTGCCTTCGGATCAGTGCAGTGTGCCGGCCACGGCGGCCATTGTAGGGTGAACCAACGGCAAAGGAAGACCTTTCTCTCTCTCTCTCTCTCTCTCTCACTGTCCACTCTGCCTGTCCAAAAAAAAAAAAAAAAAAAAGTTACCTGTTCCCCTGACCCTCAACACACACACACACACACACACACACACACACACACACAGTTCCTTATAAACCCTGCAATGAAAAGATCAGTGTAATGGGAGGCCACGAGCCCAGGTCTCCGATACTAGAAAGTCCGTATCTCTCCTTAGCCCTCTGGAGCTGGGAGGCTTTGGCAACAAGAACCAGGAGGCAGTCTGGCATTTCTTCCGATGGCCGGATGGCGCAGTAGTCCGCACTGCGCGCCAGGGCCTGGGGTCCCCCGGGCTGGCGCGCCCCTCACCTGCTCTATTCTCCACAAGAGCTCCCTCTTCTGCTGCTCCCACTCTCGCCGGTCTCGGTCCAGGCGCTCGAGGAGCTCCACCTTCTCTCGGTTCCAGTTCTTCTCGCTGTGCTGGATCTGCCAGCGCAGGTCCATGACCAGGCCGTGGCTGTCAGCCAGCAGCTTCTGGTGCACCTCTCTCTCCTTCTTCAAGGCCCCTTTGCTCTCCGAGGAGGAGCCTAGTTCTCCCAAGTTTTTTTCCGTCTTCTCTTCCAGCTGTCAGAGAGAAACAACTCAGAAACCCCCTCCAAATTCACTCCATCCATTAGAGGATGAAGACAACCTCAGCACCTTTATACGTGGTCCCTGTAAACGTGCTTAAAACAAGGCTGGGCAGTGGCGGAAACAAATTTCATTTTTAAAGTAAGAATAAAGACCATTTGACTCACAGAGAGTCCCACAGAAGGTTAAGCTGCAAATCCACTTAGCCCTCCACAGTCAACTTCTCAGCTCCAACCTCCTGGTCAGCACCAGGTCTGGTCTGCACTCTCCACACCTTCCTGAAGCAGGCACACTGTCTACCCTACATCCTTAGCCTCGACACGGAATCTAGCAATGGAACCTAGTAGTTTAAACATTTGTCAAACGCCCAGGAGGTCATATACCAAAACCCAACAGAACCTCACATCCTGTATATTCAAACTGATAAAAAACCAAAGAGAAGCCCTTGAAGGCAGACAGAGGGTCATTTGCCTCCAAGGAAGGGGAGAAGCTGCTGGCAGGGACTCCAGGGAGAGGAGGACCTGGATTTCTGGAAGGCGTCTGCAGGGGGCGGGTCCACCTGCTGCAGGCTCAGCGCTGTGGCTCCTGCGTGAGTTCTGTGGGTCGCCAGGTCTTAGGCTGGAATTCCGGGTACTTTGTGCTTCCCAGCCATCTCTTGGCTGTGCTTACTGGTCCTCCCCTGGTTTGTTTCTGCATCATCTCCCCACTTGGAAATAGTGTTTTATTTCCCCTGCATACAGATTTCATAACGGACCGACTGGAAAAGCATTCCATGGGTTCTGCTCCTCACTCCTGTCTGCCAGCGTCATCTCCTTCCCCGAGTGTGCACCTGCCCCACCCAGCCCTGGGCCCAGCCCTCTCCTCTGCTTCCTGTCCCAGAAGCCCCACCTTCTACTCAGGCTCTCTGGGCTTTTCTCACTTAGTGGAGGATTTGCCCTCACTCTGGAGGAGAGGCTCAGTATTGGTTCTGTCCCCATGGGTCCCCATCCGATACATACAGATGGGCTTTCTAAATAATACTGGCTGCTTTTTAGTCTTTGTGCAAATGGTTTAAAATATAGTTAAAAGAATCTGCTTACATGTGGATAATCAACTGTGAAGGATTTTAGTGGGTTTTTGAATAACTCAAAGAAAATTAACTGAACTCTAGATAGAAATAATGAAGTTAGTGCATTTTGCAGGGTCCTTTCTGGTGACATTAATTCATAGTTAATGGTAGTTAAAAGAAAACCTATTTGGCTTCTAGCCCCAGTTCTGTTGTTAACTGATCATGTACTTAGGTAAAGCCCTAAAGCACTTGGAGCTGCCATTTCTTTATCAATGAATTCAGAATAAGAAAGTCTGTCCTTAAAACACAGTTTAGAAGGTGCATGTAAATGGACTGAAGTATTGCAGGATGTCAGAAATCCTCAAATTCCTAAGACAATCATGTCAGCCTTCCTAATAAAGCTGCGTTCCTTCTTGAAAAAAAAAAAAAACACAGTTTAGAAAAGAAATGAAGTAATTCATATGGGAGACCTTTCTTTGGTAAAAGCAAACATTATTAAACTATTGCACTTAACAATACAAGAGGTTGTTTATTAATCAGGATAGAAACAGGGCACAGAATAGTGAGCTATTTTTGTAATTTTAGTGGTTGTTATAGGGTTCACAAACTATATATATTTAATTATTCAGAGTCTACATTGAAATTATATTAAGCTACTACACATGCTGTATGGGAGTCTTGTGACAAAACAAACCCAATTCCCACTTCGCATACTGAGCTGTTGCTCATCCTTTATGTCTGCATAGTCTATGAACACACACTACGCTGCAACTATTTTTCAACAGCCATTGGTATTTAAAAAGAGTCAAACATAAAAAAAGTGAGTTTTATATTTATATCTATTCAGTTTCCATTGTTCATTTTTTTTGCTGTGGATTGAAGAATCTGTTATTATCCTGTTTCTTCTGCCTGAAGAACTACCTTTGTCATTCTTGAAATGTAGGTCCTCTGGCAATGATTTTTTTCTTCTAGCTTTGCTTGTTGAAAGTGTTTCTCTTTGACTTTTGAAAGCAACCATTTCTTGGTATAGAATTGTATGTGGCTCGGTACCTTTATTCAGCACTCCATCGTCTTTTGACTGCATACTTTCCAGTAAGAAATTCTCTGTAATCCCCATATTTGTGCCACTCTATCGAATGTGTCTTTTTTTTTTTCCTCCTCTGTCTGCCTTTAAGATTTTCTCTTTGATTTTTATCAGTTTGAATATAGTAAGATTTTGTTGCCTGGGCATATACTGGGTTCCTCTAAAACAAAGAGGAAACATTTAGAAACTGGCTCAGGTCACCTAAGTTCCTCCTGGGATTTTGGAAAATCCAATGGTTGGCCTGTGTTCACCCTATTTGGGGAGCCTAAGCCACAGTCTGTTCTCGCGTGTGGCTGTCTGGGACAGGGTCGGCTCAGCCTGCTGACAGCGGCACGGAGGCTGTCCCGGGATGGGCTCAGGACCACGTGACTCTATGCAGAATGGCTGCTGGGTGGGGGCCACATTTCCCACATTGGAAAGGGGACAGGAGGGAACTCAGGGGCCCTGGGAAGCCCAGACACCTTCAAGAGCTACACGAGCAGCCACTCCTCTCCTTTCTCCCGCACAAGGAGCTGAATCCAACGGCATCCTCTCCCCACCCACCCGGGACAGTGGAGGCCCCAGGTAAGGGGCCCCGGGCCCGCCGCGCAGGTACCTGCTCCAGGCGGCACTTGAGCCCGGCCCACTCCACGTCCCAGGCAGCCTTGTCGCTGGCGTGCTGCTGCTGCAGGCGCCGTCGCGCCCTCGCCTCCTCCCGCAGCTCCTCCCGCAGGTCTTCCAGAAGCACCTTGAGAGCACCGAACAGCTGCTGGTTTTCCACCACCTGTGGGGACACCAAGCCCAGCTCTGCCACCTCATCCGGGCAGGAAGAGGAGAGGCTCTGGCAATGAAGGCAGTCCGGGGCTGTCTCGCAGGTGCCGTGGGCTGAGGGTGCAGGGGTCTGCAGCAGAGGAGAGGGAGCAGGGCCCCGAGGCTGGCAGTCAGGCTGCTGGGGCCGAGATGGGACCTGCAGGATGGGGAGGAAGGTGAGGGGCACTGTCTCCTGGCCACCAGGTGGTGCCTTCAGGCCTGGACCTCGGGCTCGGGGCACCTGCAGGTAATGTTCTGGACCTCGGGGCTGTGGCAGGCCATAGGGAGCCCCCAGAGGCTGCTGGGACACCCCGCCTGACTTCAGATGCCCACAGCTGTGAGCTGGGCCGGTGGACTGTGCAGCTCCAGCTACACCCACTAGCATCCACACCGACACGCCAGAGAGGGGAATGAGGGCCTGGGGACTCCCACAGACACAGGGTGCTCAAGCAAGTCCATTAGGGGTGGGGACTTCCAGTGCTGCAAGGCCAAGGTGAAAGGCTTGGGCTGTTCCTGAAGGCTGTGGCGTGGCCCCGAGACGGTGCCAGCACTGGCTCACTTACCTTGTGCTGCCCATCCCCACCGTAGGTGTCAGCGGGCAAGACAACCCTCCCCCACCCCCACACCGGCAGGGTTCAGCACAACCACTAGCTCTTGTTACTTAAGCAAGCAAACACGTCTCCCCAATGAAAAGCGGGTTTCCTTGGTAATCTGCTCATACAGATGTAACTTAACAATCTCTGCGTTTTCTAAAACCTGCCCAGCCCTCTTGGGGCAATGTTCAAACCACGGTTTCTGCCTGAGTCCATTCCTGCAAGGGCAGTGCTTCAGAAACCTGCGTGCGGACGGATGGGGCACAGTGAACGGATTCGGGAACTGGGGCTAACAGCAGCCACGTGAGCCCTCTCTTCCAATCACACGGTGCACCACAGGCTCTGGGGGCATTTGCAGGGCATGCATACGAAGCAGGAGGAGTAAGGGCTAAGTCTTGCTGGATGTAGATAAAATTCTGCACAAAACAGGAAGCACCCCCTATTTTGGACATGGTCCCTGTCCTTGGTAAACCTCTCCTGTCTGATGCAGCAAGGGCACTGGGGCTCGTGCAGAAGTCCTGCACACACAATCATGCTTCTAGAATCATCTAACTAACCCATTGGACACACACACATACATACACAAAAATAAATGGCTAAGCATATACAAAAAGAATTTAAGATGCTGTGAATATATGTTCAAGTTGAATTAGAAAAGAGAAATTCTTTAATATGAGCAGATAACTGAAAATACAACAGCTGTCTCCATAATTTAATTGAGATTATTAGACGTGGTAGACTTTTTAAAAAGTGTATACTTTTGGGGCCGGTGCCATGGTGCAGTAGGTTAATCCTGCGCCTGTGGTGCTGGCATCCCACACGGGCGCCAGTTCTAGTCCCGGTTGCTCCTCATCCAATCCAGCTCTCTGCTATGGCCTGGGAAAGCAGTAGAAGATGGCCCAAGTGCTTGGGCCCCTGCACCCATCATGGGAGACCGGAAGGAAGCACCTGGCTCCTGGCTTTGGATCGGTGCAGCTCTGGCTGTTGCGGCCATTTGGGGACTGAACCAATGGAAGGAAGACCTTTCTCTCTCTCTCTCTGCCTTTCCTCTCTCTGTGTAACTCTGACCTTCAAATAAATAAATAAAATCTTAAAAAAAAGTGTTTACTTTTTAAAACTTACTTGACAGAGAGAGAGAGAGACAACTACTAACCACTGGTTCACTCAAATGCCTACAACAGCTGGGGCCAGGCCCAGTTAAAGCCACGAGCCTGGAACTCCATTCCATATGGATAGCAGTGATCCAAGTACTTCAGCCATCACCTGCCACCCCCCAGCGTGTGCAATGACAAGTAGCTGGAACTGGGAATGGAACGGAGCAGGGCTTAGAACCCAGGCAGTCTGATATGAAATGCAGGTGTCCTAAGCAGCATCTTCACCGTGGAGCCAAACACTCACTCCATAGACAGAACAGACTTCTGATGGAGCAGAAAGACCCATAAGTTAGCATTTATTGCACTTCGCTTTTTCTTACCTTGAACACCAACTTTTACGTTACTAAGTTCAGGACAAAAGGCATTAAGAGTAAAAGTCAATTAAAATTGGAAAATTCAGCAGAGAGAAAAACCTTTGAAAAATCCTACATGTTTTCCACACATCCGAATTTAAGTAAGTTAAATTTAAGTAGTTGAACTACACTCAGAGAGATGCTTATGAAATGTATGAAGGTGTAACAAATGTGGAACGGTTTCTTAAAACCCTACGCCAATAGAATCTAAAAATTCATGAGTGCAGTTGAGAAAGGCGTGTTACACCTGCGATGCCAACATCCCATGCTAATGCTGGTTCAAGTCCCAGCTGCTCTGCTTCCAATCCAGCTCCTTGCTAATGTGCCTGGGGAAGTAGCAGAAGATGGTCTAAGTGCTAGGGCCCCTACACCCATATGGGAGACCTGGATAAAGTCCAAGCTCCTGGCTTCAGCCTGGCTCAGCCCTGGCTGTTGTAGCCATTTGGGGAGATAATCAGTAGATGGAAGATTCTCTCTCTCTGACACTCTGCCTTTCAAATAAACAAAAAGAAATCTTAAAAAAAAATATGTCTTGGCATTGGGTTTATTTGCTGAAAAATTATGTATGTTGTTTAGTATTTAGTTTAGCAATGTTATTTCATATTTTCATCTCTGGATTTCACATAAATCGCTACTTTTTGAGTCAAAAGAATTTCAAGCTTAAAGTGACAGCAGGGCTTTTTTTGGTTCAATCTTTAGAGCAGTCCTCTAATTCTCGACAAAGAGAGAGCAGAGAACCATGTAATACCTTCATAGGTATAATGGATAGCTTTCTGTGACCCCAAGGCACACACGACATTGGCCTGTGCTGCCCTTAGCCTGTGCACCACAGGAATGTTAGTAAGACTAGAATCAGAACGTCACAGTCCTCTTAGAGATGAGAAATTTGGTCTCTCTGGAAGCAAAGCACGTACTTCGGGGCACTGGCAGATATTAGATTCACTAAAATTAAGCCTTAATGTTTTCATGCACATTTGGGTCAGAGCAATCAATGTAATGCTCTATTATACCAGAATAAAATTAATCGTCGTGGAATGAGCTCTGGAATTGCTTTGGGGTAAAGGTGGCCAAGAAGGGTAGGAGAGCCTGCAGAGTTAATGCTATTGCTACCATTGTCACAACACCCAGGGTCGGTGTGACTCAGCGGAAGCCAGGCAGCTCCCGCCACAAGTGCACAGGGGCCAGAATGCGAGTCTGCGTCAGAATTCCTGAAGATTCGGAAAAAGCCGTGCATGGCCATGATTCTTCTAGATGACTTTTACACACACACACACACACACACACACACACCCAACAGCGATCGTCACTATCGCGACCTCCTGCGGGCAAGGGGCGTGCTAAATTGTTCGCCTGTAAGACCATATCTGATGTCGATCCTGGTGCCCAGTGTTACAGCCCCATTCTGCAGGGTGCAGCTGCTCAGGACTGCACAGTCCTGCGGTAAAGGAAGCGAGAGCCTCGACCGCAAGGCAGGCCTGGCGCCTGCAAGGCTGGACACACCACGGAGGAAAACTGCAAACCTCACAGTTTAGCCTCTCAGCCTTTTTCTTTTTTCCGTTTTTAAACTTCGCCTTAAAAAGTCACCTAAGTTGGGGCTGGTGTTGAGGCACAAGCTGCTGTCTGCAACGCAGGTATCCCATATGGGTACCAGTTCTACTCCCTGCTGTTCACTTCTGATCCAGCTCTCTGCTAGTGCCTCTGGGAAAGCAGCAGAAGATGGCCCAGGTGCTTCGATCCCTGCACCCATGTGGGAGACCCTGATGGAGTTCCAGGCTCCTGGTTTTGGCTTGGCCCAGCCCTTGCTGTTGTAGCCATTTGGGGAGCGAACCAGCAGAAGATCCATCTCTGTGTCTCTCTCTCTGTAAACCTGCCTTTCAAATAAATGAATGAATCTTTAAAAGATCCCTGTACCTCCTATATCAGGGACATCACTCTCTCACTCTTTCTATATCAGGGACGTCACTCTCTCATTCTTCCTCCTGGTTGTGACCACTGTTGGGCTATGTTTTTGGTTAAAAGGTGATCCAAGTCTAGAATCAAATTAATACTGTGTCTCGTTTAGCAGTCTTTATGCTGAAAGTCATCTTGGGCTGTTTTCTGAGAGTTTTGTGCAAGGGCCCAGCTATGCAACCTTATACACATCAGTTTCAAGTCCAAAACTCAGCAGGCATTTGTTCTAGTGGTTAAGACACCATGTCCCATATCGGGTCCGACTCCTGACTCCAGCTTCCTGATAGTGCGCACCCTGGGAGGCAGCAGTGGATGGTTCAAGTAGCTGGGTCCCTGCCACCCATGTAGGAGATCTGGATGAATTCCCAGCTCCAAGCTTGGGCCGCAGCCCAGCCCTGGCCATTACAGGCATTTGGGACCTCTGTCAGTCACTGTGTGTCTTGCAAATTAAGTAATGAATTAAACAAACATCTGAGTTTTCAATCTTTTCGAAGATCAGTTGGTTTGCGTTCCAGCAAAGGAGTAGGATAAAAGAGCTTCATTGGTGCTTTCTCTTTAGTCTAGAAGCATTTCAAAGCCCCTCCTAGCTCATGTCTCTGGGGTGAAGCTTAAAATAATCCTAAAATTGGGATGAGGAACTTGACTGTGCTATAACGTCAAACTTTGTAACAGTCAGGTTGACCTTCAGCAAATCAGACTGCTACTGATGTAGCAGTAGTATTCACAGACAGTGAAAACGAAGCCTATGGGACAAGGTAAGAAAAATGCCAAGACATTTGTGATGCCATGCCAGCTATTTTTCAAAACCATTCTTCCCTAAGATTTCTAAGACCTGTGCATGGGGTGAGGTGGAACCCTGTGAAGCACTAAACCACCATCTACTGCTTGCCTTGTCTCTGAGCCATTCACTTTGGAGACAGCTTT